GCGCCTGACTGCAGTGCCGCATCCTTGAGGCTCCCACCGGCCAGTCATTGCGTGCTGGCTGTCAGCCTCAAAATCAAAGCCTCAAGGAGCAAGTAGATTTGCATTTAAAGGCCTGCCAGTGAATTATAAAAGGTGAGACTATGCCACTTACTTGTGGCGATATTTTATAATAAATGTGAAATCATTTGAACTGTAAGAATACTTGGTCTTTTCCTGCCATGCAGTGGGTGCCATCAGATGGAGCATCCGCTCTCCTGGCAGCACGGTCGGAACCTAAGGAGCTCGACCGCCTCCTGAGGGGCCGGAGAAGGAACCGGGGAGACTGGAAGCACGGAAAGCAGTGCCTGGGGCAGAGGGAGTGCGATCTGTGTGAATAGCAGAGGTCCCATGAGAATTATCTTAAACCCCAGCTTCCCGAGAGGTATTGTTCTGTGAGCATTCAGGGAGATTCCATTCCTAAATCAATCATCCCATCTCCTGGTTAGCCATGCGGAATCGGGCTGGGTCCAGAGAATCCATGTGTTAATCAGACAGCAGGGACCCGTGTGTGCCGTTTACGAAGCTCTGCTAGGCTACCTCATGGCATCCGTGGCACTGGCCTGGGCAATGACAGATGGCAGGAGTCACAGCCTGTCCACGCACTGCACCCTGAGGCCCCTCACCAGTCTCCCCTGGTACACACTGCACCCCACGTCACCAGGACCCACACTGCAGCCCTGGATGAATGGGGCAGTGGCTGCCCGACAGCCGTTAACATGGGAGACGCTGCTGAGCGTGGGAAAACACAGTGCTCTACTCCCGGCCCCCACAGCCCCCTACAGCCCTCAGCAGAGCGCACTGCAGGATCGGCTCCCAGAGCCGAGCGTTCACTCAGTAAGCATTCCAATTACCTGCCGTGGCCTACGCCGGATGCTAAGCACTGCCGTTCAACCGTGAGACGACTGTCACCAAAAAGGCACACGTGATACTGAACCAGCAATCACAGGAGTCTGATGGGACACTGGGGCAGGGTCTCCACTCGGGACCACGGCCTCCCAGAGGGTGCCCTTTGCTCACTCCCTGAGGAGAAGGGGCAGGCTGGGGGGCACTGGCAGAGGCTGGGCACTCGGGGACTCTGGGTGGAAAAGGCCAAAAGGAAAGACAAGGCGGCAAGAAGCTCAGCAACGCGCTTCCCTTGGGGGAGGGGCACAGCTGGACCTCGGGAGCCCCCAAAGCCATCGCTAAGGAACCTAGACACGGTTCTGGGGCAGCGGAGAACCCTCGGCAGGGGCTTGAACCCAGAGCGCCACATGGATGCGCATTCACTCTGCGCCCTGAACTACACTCAAAGCCAGTGTATTCCAGGGCTAAGGGCAGCACTGCCAGCCCCTTGCCACCATAGAGACGGCATGGGAACACCTTAAAGCCCCCGTAAATGATTCCCATGGCCGGCGCTGTCGGCACCCTCCACGGCGTTGGAGTGCACTCCTGCTATCGCCCACGGTTTCCCTCCCCCATTCTTCTTAATGGTGAGCGTGAGTCAGGAACACCGACAGACTGTGGGTGCTCAGTTCCCACAAGGCACAGGGGCGCTCGCCCTGAGCCCCTGGGAAGGAGTGGGGAAGGGGAGACGTGAAATCCTTACAGGGGGTCCAGGCCAGCATGCAGACATGAAAGGCACTCGCTCAGGTTGCATCAAATGAGTGGGCGGCATTGTCATCATTGTTTCTAATTCAGTCTAAGGGTGACGGGCAGTGCCCGCTTCCCCTGAGAGCGGGAGGTAGACATCCCAACGTGCATAGCCCGGTCCAGTCACTGTATGTGAGAGTCACTGCTGGAGCCCACGCAGGGAACGGAAGGCACTGGCCAGTGAAATCCACGCACAGCCGCCGAGGGATCCTGACGACTGCAACCTTTTTCATTCCCCACGAGAACAGCTACCTTTACCCTTTCCTAGCACCTTCTGTGAGCCAGACACTGGGCTCGACCTTTTGTAGTCATTATTGCTTAGCAGGAATCGTCAAAATGCTGGACCAGTCAGAGGGGACTCGGTGGGAATAACCAGAACCAATGGGAGTGGACTAAATGTCAGCCGACTTCCCCAGAGGCCGCACACTCACCATCCACAGCCGCAGACTGCTTGTGGATGTATTTGATTTGGCCGGAATGATGTTTAATTTTTAAAAATTTGTTGCCCAGCTGGCGTGGCTCAGTGGTTGAGCATCGACCTATGCACCAGGAGGTCACGGTTCGATTCCCAGTCACAGCACATGCCCCAGTTGTGGGCTTGATCCCCAGTGTGGGGTGTGCAGGAGGCAGCTGATCAGTGATTCTCTCTCATTATTGATGTTTCTCTCTCTTTCTCCCTCTCCCTTCCTCTCTGAAATTAATAAAACTATGTTTTATAAAAATAAAAAATAAAATCTGTTGCAAAGATATAAAAAAATAGTGAGATTTCACATAAAGATGCTGACGAGGACGGACCAGTGCGGTGCCTGCTTCCTTGCAAAGGGGGCCCGGCCAGCCCAGACAAAGGCAGTGGCTGCGGCCTGGCTAATGTGAAAGACTGCAATGCCAGTGGTGGCCACCAGGCCCTCCTGCTGGCCGCTGGGAATGAACACCCGCTGAGCCTTCTAGGTAGCTGGCGCTCTGCGGTCGGCCCCTGGCCCCCTCCCCTGACCACGTTTCCATTGCCTGCCTTGCCCCGTAGGCAGCTGAGCTGTCACCCAGGCTGGGCGGGAAGCAGTGTCTTCCTTACAGAGATTCTCTCTGGCCACACTCCAGGCCTCTGCCTGGCCCTGCCCCCAGGCTCTGTGATGCTGACACCGCTGGTCAGGAGGCCATACAGAAAACCACTGCCCTACAACCAAAGCCTGAAACCCAACGCCGCTGGGTTCAGAGCCGGCGGGCATGGGAGCGTTTGCATTCTTCCTCTGGCCCACTGAGGAGGGGATCCACGTTTTGAGACGTCATGAATGGCCCCACAAAACTCCAATGAGTTGTGTCCACCTCCAGTTTCCTGAACGGACAACCCATTCTTCTCTTCCCGATTGCCCTTTGACCTCTTCCCAAATGGTGTAATAAAAGCGATGCTGCCGCCTGTGACTTGCAGGCCCCTCTCCAGCCGCAAGTGGACACCAGGGCACTCTAAGGAATCACATCAGCAGGACGCGACGCCATGCCCCTCAGACATGCTGCGCCCGAGACCCTGAAACTCATTATCAACTGTCCTGTGCGGGCGCATGCTGAGCGCTTTATGCATAGACGGTCCTCCCTGTGTTACAGAAGATGAGCCGAGGGGCCGAGGGGAGCTCGCGCATCCAAGTCCACCATCGCTAGCGTCATCAAGCGTGTTGGGCCCGCTGTATCCGCCGAGAGTCAGACACTGTTAGGAATACTGAGCCCAGTCCTGTGTATCTTAGATGAGTTTTGATTACCTGGAGGACAATAGGCACTTGGAGGTGATGTCATATGAGACATGCTTGCAGGTACATGTATGTGTGAGTGTGTGTGTGTGGTGGGAAGGGCCTGCCTCTGAGCACCAGGAGATGTCCAGATGGAAGCAGGACTCACCGGGGCTGCTGTCTTCTAATCGTTTGGGACATGCACGACTGGGGCGATGAGAGGTCATTGGGAGACTTTCTCAAACCCCCTGCCCTTGGTCCGGGCATTCTGTGCCTCTGCCGGGCCAGACTGTGACGCCTGGCTCCGTGGTGCGCTGGCTGAGTGACCTCACAGCCTCCATTTCCTCTGCCATTACAAGGAGGGGCAGGTCATTGTGAGGACTTAGATCAGCAGTTCTCAACCTGTGGGTCGCGACCCCTTTGGCGGTTGAACGACCCTTTCACAGGGGTCGCCTAAGACCATCCTGCATATCAGATATTTACATTACAATTCATAACAGTAGCAACATTACAGTTATGAAGTAGCAACGAAAATAATTTTATGGTTGGGTCACAACATGAGGAACTGTATTTAAAGGGCCAGAAGGCTGAGAACCACTGACTTAGATGTTGCATGTGAAGTGCCTAATACGGTGCCTGGCACATAGTGAGTGGCCAGAAAATTAATAAAAATGTGCACCATTAGCATGGTTGTTTCCTTCACACCCGAGTCCCTGACACCTGCCGGTTTCTATGACAATGTTTATGTTCACTTTCAGCCTCAGTCGGCAATTTTACAGCCCATAGTAATGCCCCCAGGTCTCCGCTCTGCTCAGTCTAACAAGGAACATCCCCCACGGAACACCGATCTGCCTAACCCAGGAGCTGACGAGCATCGCGGGTCTTTGGGGACGGAGCACCCTTGTGTGTGCAGGTGGGGAAGGGGCCTTCATCCTTGTGCTACACAAGCTCCCGGCGTCTGTGAGCAGGTCCGCTGCCGTCTCATCTCTTTCCCTTTCGGGGGAGCCTCTTGTTTACTGACTGAGACGTGCGAGTTTCAGAATTAAATTTACATACTGCGGAGACACACGACATGACCTTTTCAGTGGCAGCATGAAGAGACGACACCGACCAAGGGGGAAGGACGAGGGGGAAACTGGGTTCTTGACCGCACCTGCAAGTGGGCTGACCCCGCTCACCAAGCCCCATCCCGAGCGCTGCCAGCAGGGCCGGTCACAGTTACCGAACGGATAGAACAGCCTCAGTAGCCATCGTCCCCCCCACAGTGAAGTGCCTAATACGGTGCCTGGCACATAGTGAGTGGCCAGAAAATTAATAAAAATGTTACCATTACCATGGTCATTTCCTTCACACCCGAGTCCCTGACACCTGCCGGTTTCTATGACAATGTTTATGTTCACTTTCAGCCTCAGTTGGCAGTTTTACAGCCCATAGTAGAGGCCAGGCTGCGTGGATGGAAATCGCCACTTCTGTACCTGAGACTCTGTACAGAAATGTGAGCGATCCACGTGCCCGTGTCCACGCCCGCCTCTGAGAGCAGGGAGGGCGCACACGGGTGGGCGGGGAAAGAGCGCGGGGTGTACACGTGGCCAACGGCCAGAAGGAACGCCTACTTACGGCTTTTGGCTTATACGGGGGCTGAATCTCTTTGCATTCCAGTTTCTCCCAGTCAATATACCGGAAGAACGCGTGCTCTTTGATGTCCCGCTCGCCTTCGGGCCCGCAGCCCAGACGTTTGCCCGGGTGCTTGGTCATCAGCTTCAAGAGAAAGAGAGAGGGAGGGGTTAGTGACCTCTGGGGAGCCGCCTAAGGCACAGAGCACCCCGCTACGAATTAGGGAAGGAAGGACCCTGCAGAGCCCCAGCCAAAACTAACAGTAGCCCTAGCCGGTTTGGCTGAGTGGATAGAGCGTCGGCCTGCGGACTGAAGGGTCCCAGGTTCGATTCCGGGCAAGGGCACATGCTTGGGTTGCAGGCTCCATCCCCAGTGTGGGGTGTGCAGGAGGCAGCCGATCAATGATTCTCTCTCATCATTGATGTTTCCATCTCTCTATCCCTCTCCCTTCCTCTCTGAAATCAATAAAAATATATATTTTTAAAAAAACTAACAGTAATATCGATGGACACTGTAATTGGGGAAAAGGACTTAAAAAAGGAGCCCCAGCTAATTTTTTGTTGCTGTTATTGTTAATCTCCACCAGAGGATATTTTTTCCATTGATTTTTTTTTTTTAAGAAAGAATGAAAAGAGAGGGGGAAAGAGAAAAACATCCATGTGAGAGAGACACATCGACTGGTTGCCTCCCTCACGCGCTCGACCAGGGTGGGGATCGAGATACGTGCCCTCGGTGGGCCGATGCTCTAACCACTGACAACACCAGCCAGGGCCCAAGTAACTTTTATTTTTATTTTTCATCCCAGCAATGCTTTCCTGGCCAAGGGCTTTGTACCAGGAGGACCCGACAATAGTGCCTGCAGGCTACTCGTCCAGAGCAAGATCCCTGTGGCTAAGTGAGGACCGGACTTCAAGTTAGAAAGGTCACCACGATGAATCTGGGTTCAAGAATAAGATCTATGCAACCACTGCTGCATTGATGAGAGCAGCTCCGGTCTCTTCCCGCCCTCCTCCCGCCACGAGAAAGCCAGAGGATAGCCCTGGCCACGGCCACATCCAGACAATGTCGGCTTTCTCAGTAAGCCTCCGTGACAGCAGAAGGAAATACTAGTCAGATGGGCCCAAGTTTCAAGTAATTACTTCCCGAAAGCTCATTAAACAGTCAAAGCCAGCCCAGCTCCTTTCCCTCGCCTCACACTCCCTCAGACTCCGCAGGGGCCTCCTGTGAAATTACTTATCAAACCCTCCATCTTCGGGCCTCAGAGCCGCGCAAGAGACCAGATGAATAGCTGCTCCGAGGCTAAACCAGACAGACTTTCTCTTGCGAGCAAATCAGAGGAGCTTGGAACTGTCTCCATCGGCACTTCAGTGAATGCACAGGGTGGACAGGAGGAGTGGTGATTATTAACAAGTACCGACAAGAGGGCATCCAAACACAGACCTGGCCGGCAGCTCAGTGGTTAGAGCATCGCCCTTGGACTGAAGGGTCATGGGTTCGATTCCCGGTCAAGGGCATGTACCTCAGTTACAGGTTTGATCCCAGCCCCAGTCGGGGTGGGTGCAGGAGGCAACCCGTCGATGTGTCTCTCTCACATCAATCTCTCCTTCCCTCCCTCCTTCCTTATCTCCTCCCTCTCTTTCACTCTCTCTAAAAATCAATGGGAAAAAATATCCTCAGGTGAGGATTCTTTTAAAAAAAGAGATGAAACAAAAGTGATTGGGACACACAGGTCCAAAAGCTTCCAGCGTTGACCAGACACAAGGAGCCCATGGTGTCAGAGCTCTTAGATTGTTGCCCAGGATTTGCTGATTGAGGGGAAGGGAGGGGCCCAGCCAGTCACACCTACTCTGTTGGCCATTCCGCTCAGCTGATTCCTGCTTTCAAGATAACTTATCTCCGCCACCTTCTCCCCCACCACCACCCACCCTCCCACCCCCTGCACACGCACAAACTTTCCACATGTGCTCCACCTTCCAGGGGAGAATAACTGGGCACGTAGCGTTCTAAGCTACGTCTTCACTTACACACACAACCCCACCTGGTTCTGACAATAGCCCCAGGCACTGGGCATTTATTTTCTTCATCGAATGACAGGCAGGCGGCACTCACAGAGGTTAAGCAACTAGCAAGGACTCGCAGAGCGTAAGAGGCAGAGCCAAGACTGACCCCGCCTCTCACCATAAACCCTGGGCTTTTAAGAGGAACGGGAGAGCTCCTCGCGGGTGGTTTCCGGAGGTACCTGTGGCTTGGTCAGGGAGGGCCTCCGGAGGGCGAGCAGACTGAGCTGAGCCTTGAGATCTGTGTAGGGTCAGGATGGCGGGCGGGAAGGCTATGAACCGTGGCCACAGAACCACCACCACCGCGATCAGGAGGGCTCTGTGCACGGGGCAGGCTCATGCCCACGGCTTCCCGCGCACGTTACACCTCCGTCTCCACACACTCGGAGGCCTTAGCAACTCTTATCCTCACTTCCAGACAAAGAGCTGGGTCCAGTAAAGGAGCCATTCGTCCCAAGCCGCACAGCGAAGCAGCAGCAGCGGCCGAGCACATGTGCCCGGCCCCCGGCCCGCGGCTCTGCCCGCAGCCCCTCCTGCCTCCACGCTGGACGCTGTTCAAAGCGGGCGTGGCAGTCTGAGCAGATGTGCTGATGTTTTGCTTTGGTAGAAAATAGGGTCTGTCAGGATGGATATAGAAAGAGCATTTTCACTGGGGTTGGGACTGCATTCAAGAGCCTGGCTTAATGTTCATGTACGGGGAGCTGCCAAGCCGAGCCACTGCAGCCTCAGCGGCACTCAGCGAGGCTCTGCGGTCCCCACGGCTGGTGCAGACAGCGCCCGTCCCCGAGGGCCTCCCCGACGGACGCCTGGGCACTGAACGGAAGCCTTCGGCTGTTCCCTGAGCAACGCCCCTTCTTTGGAGCCTCGGCCTTGAGAAAAGCCCACACGGGACTCAGACCACTCAACTCAGCGCCCAGCCTCGTGGCTGGAAAGTCGCCCCAGTGAACCCTGAAGGTTCTGGGTCCTGAATTAACAGAAACCTGCCCTCCCAGGGAGCTGCTAACTGGAGCTGAAGCTGAGACCTGGACACTCACCCCAAGGCCGCCTCAGCCCCGCTGTGCAGGCCGGCAGAGCGAGGGGCAGGCCCTGAGCGTGCACTGAGCACCTACTATGTGCAACGCCACTCAAGGAGCTTCCTGTTAGGTTAGGTTCCTTAACGCTCTCACAAACTCTGTTCAATGAATACTATTGTTTCCTTTTTAGAGATAAAAAACCCCCATCCCCCCTGTCAAAGTGACTTGCTTCAAACCATGCTCCCAGGAGGTGAAAGGTCAAGATCTGCAAAGGACTCTTATCTCCAAAACTCCCCACTTTAAAAATCCCAATCAGGGGGGGTGCAAACCCAAATGCCCAGAGGAGCCGGCATGTGACATGGCAGTGCCAGCGCTGGCAACAGTAACCATAGCTCAAGGGCTGGGGCAGAGCCCCTGGCGCTGTTCCCATTCACACGCACCAACGCCTGGAGTCACCGAGGACTCCGTGTGTAGGCCTGTCAGCATCCCTGATCTACCGATGAGGGCAGACAACATCCCTGCGGTCCAAGGGATAGCAGGCCAGGGACAGGTCTGAGCCCAGGTGGCACCTGGCAGATCGGAGAGGGTGCTCTGTCTGAAGGGGCACTGGTTTCCAAGCCAGCGGACTGAGACGTGTTTTAAGGGAAACTGGCAGCTGCATGCTTGTGGGAAATCCTGATTTTTCAATGCCCGCAGCCACCAGACTGAAGGCTCAGGCACGCCTCTCCCTCCTACCCAGACCCTCAGGGCCTACACTGCCTCCCTGGGCCCTTTTCCCTACAAGCCTCGCTTTGGCTCCTAATGAACCTGCAGGTCTCAATTCTCTGCCCTTGCCTCACACCTCAAAGAAAATACTTTTAACCAATTCACTTTAAGATGTTTGAGACTCGCTAAGAGTGGGAATTCTGCCAGCGTGACGAGGTGCGTCCAGACTGAGAGGCTGGTCCAAGCTGCCCGCACCCAGGCCAGCTCCATGGCCTCTGACGCTCCAGAAGAGCAGCGCTGGGGGAGGGGAGGAAGACAACGGGAAATCTGCAGACACCCCAGGATCTGGGACTGCAGGCCTGCTTCATTCAGACACATGCAGGAACCCGCTAGAAGACACAGCCATGCCCTAACCTCAAGACCACGCCTGCACCACAGACTGCAGGGAGAGCTGACTTCAAAAGGCAGCGTTTCAGGGCCCTAGTGTCCGGAGGTGCCATGTTGCTTGCACACTTCCGCCACAGGAAAAGTGACCACCTCTGGATAATATGTTTAGAGGCACGGGGACCTTTTCAAACCGCAGAAGCACATGAGGTCATCCGAGAGGCATCAAAGGTGAGCCCAAGGGCCTCCAGGGACTGGCCTCCTGGCCCAGCACCAGACGCACCTCGCGACCCTTAGGAACAGGGCCCTGCCTGCCTCACACATGCACCCATGTGCTGCTTGCAGCCCTCTGTGTGCCGGGGCGGCTTAAGAAACTGGATCTGGGTCGCTCATCTAGAGAACCCCTCAAAAGCAGCACTCCCTGGTATTTTCTTCGAACAAAGCCACGCGCTCAGTGTTAACCACACTCATGGGCTGAGCCGGCGTGGCTGCCGGATCCGTGCCGCAGACCTCCACCTTCCCATGGTTCCAGCTCTTCGGCTAAGCCCCTGGGCTCCCTGCCTCATTCACGCCAGGCAGCGCCCGTGCTGGGCCAGAGGTGGAGCCCGCCAGCAGCGAGATGCCGCTCCGGGTGGCCTGGACGGCGCAAATGAGAAAAAGCGCCCTTTCCTCTGGGAGGGAGCAGGTCCGCCAGGGCTTGGGGGTGGCCAGTGGGCTGAGAGGTGGAGCTCAGTCTCCTTCCCCCGCCCTGGGAGGGGCCCCTGTGTGTGGAGGCCCTGGCTTCGAGGCGTGCACTCACCCCTTTGCAGATGGCCACAGCCTCCTTGGACATGGACTTGGGGTAAGCCACGTTGTGCTCCATGATGGACTGGAAGAGTTCATCCTCATCCTCCCCTTCGAAGGGCGCCTGCGGGACAGAGGACAGGTGGGCGAGTGGGCGAGGGGATTCCTGCCTGAGACTCCTGAGCCAGCACCTCTGCCCTGGCCCACGGGGAGGCTGCAGGCTTCCAGCGAGAAGAGGAGAATCAGCCAAGACTAGGGTAGCCACAAGGCACGAAGTCAGAGAGCTTCAGACTGATGAGCGGGGATCAAGCTGACACTCTCTTGCAGGGAAGCCACACTTTTCCTACAAATCACTCAAATTCAATTACCTGCCCGGCCAGCATCTCATACAGCAGGACTCCGAATGCCCACCAGTCCACCGACTTCCCGTAGGGCTGGTACGCAATGATCTGGAAGACAGAAGGCAACCCGTCAGGGGGTGAGCAGGTCCCTGCAGCCGGAGACTGGACACACACCTTTGCAGTGAGAGTGGACGGCCAGGTGGCGGGGGAGGGAGGTCACCTGCCTACTGCGAAAGGTTAAACGGGCTGTCCCAGTCCCAGGTGCAGGCCACCGTCTCAAACAGTGGACAGGGAGCTGGTGCCAGGCAAGCTGCTGCTCCCCATGGGGGAGGGGTCTCCGGCAGCGGCCTCAGGCCGGGGACGCCTGTGCATGCCACGTGACCTGTCAAGTCACTGCTTTGTGTGCTTTTTTAAATTTTAATACAGCGAGGGTGAACTTTTAAGAAGAAAAACTGTATTTCTCATTATAAAAGTAATAACATTTATACAACAATGTGAATGTACTTATCGCTACTGAACTGTACATTTAGAAATGGTTAAGATGGCAAATTTTATGCTTTTATTTACCAAAATTTAAAAATTTTAAGTGAACACATGTAATAGCATTTATTAATATTTTAATATTTATTTTAAAATATAGATAAGCTAAGAGAATCCCATTAAAATCACCCATAATCCTTTATCGAGAGAAAACTTATGATTGATATTTGGTCTATTTCCTTCTAGATTCTTTTCCGTGAATAGAGATTAAACTCTCTGTGTGTATGTGTATTACATAAACATAAATACTTTGATGTGTGAAATATTAATAAAGTACTTTAGTCACTTAACATTTCCATGTTAATACCTCTATGTCAACATACTCAGGCTTAACTTGATATAGCGTCCCATTGCCTGGCTACAAAACCTGTCTCACCAATTCCCAACGGGCGAGGTTTCTCCTGACGCTACAATACAGACTCTTGTAACGAGGCATTTCCACATCTGTCCCCTTATTTCTGTAAGTCAGGGCCCTAAGAGGGAAGGCAGTGTGGAGGCAACACCCTCCTGCTTTACTCACTGTATTATACGTTTCTATGTACAACTTTTCAAGGGCACAAAAAAAGTGACACTTTTTTAAAAAAAGAAAAAGATGAATTCCTAGAAGCGGATTTTCAGGGCTCAAACACTATACACAGCGATCAGGGTTTTGACACTTATTACCAAACTGCTAGGGCATGGGAGTGTCTAGAATACCGATGAGCACCCGCATTTCTGATAGGGTGTAACACTCTGTCGGAGGGGATGAGAGGTGACAGAGCAAAGGTGGAGGTCAAGGTCTGGGGAAGCAGTCCAGACGCAAGATCCTGACCGCCACGCCCTCCCAGTTGTGTGACTTGGAAGGAGTTGCCTACCTTCTTTAAGCCTCAGTTTCCTCAGTTTATAACAGTACCCATGCCGTAGGGCTTTGTGAGGATGGGAGAGAAACATGTGCCTTCACATATTATGCCCTCAGGTGTTTGCTATTACTGGGAAGTCCTGTAACTCAGTGACTGCTTGTGTGGCTAAATAAGTGCAGCCAGACAAACGGGGTCCACCGGTCCAGCGCCGTCTGCCACCCCAGCGCCCAGGCGGGTGGAATGCGCTCGTGCGTGAGCCCCAGAGGACGCGGAGCTCCGTGGGGACTCCTGCACACTTGTGAAGCACGTCACCTCGACTGGATCCCCACGACAACCTATCGCAATCCTTCCACAAAGGAAAGCGAGCCCGAGGAGGCGAGAGACGCTGCCGCACGATGTGGCTGCGGATGGCGAAGCCGGGAGGCCCGCCTGAAGCTTGCTCCTTGCGGACTGCGGAGGGGCCGCCTCCCCGTGTGTGTGTGTGTGTGTGTGTGTGTGTGTGCGTGCGTGTGCATGTGCATGTGTGCGTGTGTGCATGTGTGTGCATGTGTGTGTGTATGTGTGCGTGATGTAAACTAGGTTCCTAGGAAAGGACCTGCTTTGGTGAAAGAGAATGTAGGATTTAAATATTGTGCCACGCTATTAGTTACATGGGGCCTCCAGTCACCAATTCCATGTGAGGTGACAGACAAGCCTAGGATGTCCATTTCCAAGATTCTGCGCCACACCCTCAGTCCCATTCCTAGGAAACCAGTAGCAGACTGTACATACAGTCACCTCTCTGGGCACCAACTCAGAGAGAAAGGGAAGTATCGCCTGGCACAAATGTTTGTACCATGACCTGTTGGGAAACCCATTCTGCAACTGACCATCTCCTTCGGGAAGGGGGACTAGAATTCGACCTTTACCCTTTCATTTGTACCTGCATCACAGGAAGGGACGCCAGGTCTTCCAGGGCTCAGCACACCTACTGCCTCCCGCCTCACACCAGCCCAGGGACCTCTCCCGCCTTCACAAACATTCTGATGTCACAATAAGCAGGCACCACATGGCCATGAGCCACAGTAGCTGAAGGAGGATTTTGCTGATTGTGGTGGATGGTTCGGTTGAGTTTAATTAAGCTTTCTCCCAAACCTGGGTGTATCTGGGCCTGATCTCTGGGTGTGTGCTAAGCGAATCTGCACGTGTGATCTCTAAGGACTGACAGCTCAGAGGGCCGGGGGGCTGCTCCGTGCAGCACCGGGTGGGGGCGCAGTGCGGGCACGAGCCGGGGTGCGCTCACCTCAGGGGCGATGTAGTCCGGAGTGCCGCAGAACGTCTTGGTGGTCACCCCGTCCCAGATGTTCTCCTTGCACATGCCAAAGTCGGCGATCTTGATGTGGCCCTCAGAATCCAGCATCACGTTGTCAAGTTTTAGGTCGCTGTTGAGAACATAAGAGTATAGGGGCTTAATACACGTTATTTATTTTAAGTCAACCAATAGCCACTCACGTTGTGCGAGGCACTGTGCTGGGTGTGTGGGGGACAGAAGGGAGTGTGAAGCAGCCCTGGCCCTCCAGTAGCTGATCACCTGGCAGGAAGATCAGGAAAGGTCCACAAACCCGTGTGTGCGGCTTTTTCTGCACAGCCAACTGCGCCCAGCTTCTCGCGAGGCCCAGCGAGACGCCGGGCGGGAGAAGACACCCCCAGGATGCTGGATGCTAATGAAGGGCAGAGGTCCAGGCGCACCCCACGGACTGACATGTGTAACTTAAGGACCCCTTGCATTTCATAGAAGAGATTATTTCACAAAATTGTTATTTTTAATATGTTTTTTATTGATTTCAGAGAGAGGAAGGGAGAAGAAGAGGGAGAGAGAGATAGAAACATCAACGATGAGAGAGAGTCCCTGACTGGCCGCCTCCTGCACGCTCCCGGGATTGAGCCCCAACATGCCTCTTAAGTTAGTCTGAATTGAGTTGCTGTCGCATTTTCAACCGAAGGAACACAACCTGGACACATATGCTGGCACCTCCTACCTGTGTCTGCGAGGTCTCTTCTTCCGGGGGTGGGGGGAGGGGGGAGGGCGGTTCACTTGCACCCCGGCTTGGCGTCCACTACCTTTGGTGCTGTCCACGGTGCTACCCCTTTCCAGCCTCATGCTTATCTACAAGCCGGGGTCCCTGCATGCTAGCGCAGAACTTAGGGAAGCTGGGCTTTGCAGAAACGTGCTTCGTCTACACTCGTCTACATGGTCTGGTCACCAGGGACCCATGACAGCCCCCTCATCTTGACCCCATGCCCCCACACAAGTAGCTGGGCACTGGAGAGAGAAGGGATACGATCTTCATGTTACAGGAGAGGAGTGTCAGGAGCCACAGGCCTTAGGGTGGAGAACACCCAGGTATACTCGCTGCACACGGCGTGGTTTGAGAGTCCTCTTTTGCTCAATGTAATACCCTCCTTTGATACTAAGTTTGGCAGGAAGGCTCTTCTGTCCCCCCCGCCCCGGCCCCCCAACACCCCCAGCACGGTCCTCAGAGAGGCAAGTCTGACACACTCGCTCACCTCTTCACTGAGGCACTAAATAAGGGGGAGGGCTTTGTGACATTGGAAAAGATCGTGCTTCCATGAAGGCAATCTCAGTGACATTAAGAAGCCCACACGCTGTCACGTAATGTTTTTATAGTTTTACTTTATCAATTTCACAAACTCTGTCTTAATTGAGATTCTTTCATGTGAGCAACAAAAGCAAACTCTATTTCCGCCTAAGAAGGATGTTTTAAAGGGAATGGGTAGCTCATGGAGCCTGAGGAGCTGAGGCCCAAGACGGAGGCCTAAGTGCAGCACAGAGCTGGCAGGAAAGACAGCCCCCTTGCCTCCAGGCTGCCTGGGCACAGACTCGCCCACCTTCCATGGAGCCCGGGGGCTGCCCTCTGGATGTTGCTACTAAGAACCACTTCCCCTCTCACCCTGGGAACTAGGTGGGGCCGATTTCGAGGGCCAGTCTCTGCTTCCTTGGTCACTAACTTCCGATTCAAGGTCTCGGCCAGCGTGACAAGAGGCAGAGCCTGGGCTGTGTGCCTGGCCTGGCTACGGGGGGCTGAGCGAGTATCTGCATTTTAAATCTGCACAGTGGGAGGCGGACTCTTGCTACACACAAATGCCGGGGCTCAGATGCCAAGTGGCTTAGAGGGATAATGAATAGCTCCTGAAACCACCTCAGACGTGAGGGAGCGTGGGAGCGCATGCACTCAGGAGAGAGAGCTTTGGAGTGAAGCATGCTGAGCGCCCAAGATGCTGACCTCGGGATTTTTATGGCCTGAATGGCCATGTCCTGTCTCCCACATCCCTGATCCCAACTGGAAACCTCACCCTGATCCCAACTCAGTTGACAAAGATTCTTATTTCCTCCTCAGATTCCTTCCCTGGAACAAGATTTTCTTCAAGAAACTTGCAGTCCCATGTTCGACCCCCCAGCAGCCTGAGCGCTGTACAGGGTCAGGTTCTAAGGTCCACGTGTAAGGGAGAAATCAGAGGGAGCAGCCACCCCAGCCCTGCCTCAGGTTAGGCACAGGGAGGTCACTGGCTTCGATTCACGGCTCATGTCACACAGAAGATGTGTAGCTGCCAGCACCAGCATTGCATTCGGCACACCAAGATGCTACACCGTGACAGCCGCGGGGAAACTGAGGCTTCACAGGTCCGCGTGGGCAGTGAGGGCAAGCATGGCGGAACGACCACACGACATGCAGTCCACACGATTATCCCCTCTGTTCCTGTCGCCCCACCACCACCAAGCACCAGCTGAAGCCATTCCTCTCTGACCCCCCCGCCCCCTGGCACCAGGAGTAAAGGGGGCGTGGGGGCTCCGTGTCGTCAGGACGAGATCGTCCCTCCCCGGCTAGACTTCATGCTGCCACTTCCAGGAGCCATAAGCCAGGACTCTGCAGGCTTCTGGCAAGGCCCCACCTTCCGTCCCCCCATGCCAGCAGCACCCACAGGCCACCACCCTATCTGCTTTGAGACTACCAGGCCTGATCCCTTTACGCCTTTTAGTCACAATCCTTCTGTTGCTTTAAGAGGTCCAGGACTCTGAGGTCCCTCTAACTCTTCAGACCCTCATCCCACGCCATCTGCAGAATGGCGGGCACCACACCACCCAGCACACCGAGCCCCCTCCCTGCTCGCTCTTCCCCACAGCACTCATCACTGCTCAGCGGCCTAGGCCTGGTTCCCGCGTCTGTCTCCCACCACCAGAGTATCAGTTCCACAAAGGCGGGCGGTTAGGCCTGTTTTTTCACAGCTGTATCCCCATCACAGTACACGGTGGGATTTGGATAAATGTTTGTCAAATGAATGAATGAAATGGACTTCAATAGACCCCACACGTGGCAAATGCCCTTTGGAAGCCTGAGCCCCTGCCAGACCCTCTTGCCTAGCAGCAGTGCAGCCGGCCCTGTCTGTGGGTGTGCGTCCATGCGGTTGTGAGAACTGCACACCCTGACTCACTGACAGACAGCAGCCCGGCTCAGCAGTCTGCCTTGCATGAAATAGGAGATGGTCTGACTCACGCAGCTGTGGTCATACACTTGCTCCTCCAAACATGGGCAAATGCCAAGTCCCAAACTTAATCCTGTCTTTCAGGGCAAGCTACTCAGAAATCCATTTCTGAATTGTGATTATGTAGCAAAACAACACAACCCGTCTCATAATAATATGACCTATCATGTTCTGCTAAACAAGATGCTTTGCTTGCTCTCCAGGCAAGAGGAAGAAGTGCTGGGCCCTCCTGCTGAACCACCTCTTAGAACAGTGGTCGGAAAACCATGGCTTTCGAGCCACATGCGGCTCTTTGGCCCCTTGAGTGTGGCTCTTCCACAAAATACCACGTGTGGGCGCGCACGTACAGTGCGATTGAAACTTTGTGGCCCATGTGCAGAAGTCAGTATTTTGTGGAAGAGCCACACTCAAGGGGCCAAAGAGCCGCATGTGGCTCACGAGCTGCAGTTTGCCAACCACTGTCTTAGAGCAAATGGCCTTGGGTTTGAGGTGCAAACCATCACTGGTGGCGGAGGGCAGGGAGGTGTCGCCACACAGAGCGCCTGAGCTTTGCCAGGGCAGTGGGCGACGCTGCCTCCGCCCGGTGGAGCACAAGCCCGAGTTGGCCTGGGAGGACCCCTCCTCACCACGGAATCTATTTTAAAAGCAGTTAAAGAAAGAGGCAGGGACCGGAGGAGCAAAGGCCACGCGGGGAAAGCACGCAGCTCACGTACCGGTAAATGATGCCCTTGCTCTGTAAGAAGAACAGGCCAATGGCGATTTCTGCAGCGTAAAATCTGAAATAAACAAAAGCCATGAGAAGTTCAAGGACACCATATGCTTGGCAACTCTCAGAATTCCGTACAACATTGAACTGGGTGTAGGACATCAATGCCTGTCATGGATGGCCAGCCACCCATCTCATAAAACAAAGTACGGAGTGTGGATGGGTGAGCAGGGTTTAGATAACTGCCCTAAGGATCCACTGGGGTGGGCAGAGGGTCAGCAGTTGTGTGGTGGGGAGGAGGCCATGGGATATGATGTGCTAGCTGGAGAAGAGTTGGTTCAGAGTACACCAAGTTAAAATCCTATATAATAAAAGGGTAATATGCAAATTGACCCTAACAGCAGAATGACCAGAACGACCGATGGACCAGTCACTATGAGGCTCACTGACCACCTCTTGGTCCCTTTCCCCGACTGGCAGGTTCCGATCACCTGATAGCCACTGTGGCGGGGGCAGGGCCGGCGAGCAGGTGTGAACAGCCGACCTCTCGGTCCCTTCCCCTGGCTATCAGGCATCGATCACCCAATGGCGAATGGGGAACTGGGGATGGGTGGCGGCAGGAGGCGGGGTCAGCTGTGGGCAGCTGGGGAAGATGGCCCTGATAGTAGGCCAGGCCTAAGGACCGTACCAGTGCATGAATTTTGTGCGCCAGGCCTCTAGTAGCTTAATAATAGCAGCTGCCATCTGTTGAAGGCTGGCCCTTTCCCTAGCATCATTGTGGGTTATTATCTGTTTCAATTTTAACTGCAGTCTGGTGAGGTGGGTTCTACTATTACCTCCCTGCTCCTTAAATGAGGAAACCAAGGCTCAGTGACATGAAAAAACTTGGCCAAGTTATACAACTGATAAATGGTAGGCCAGGGTGGGAGAGCTCTTACTGAAGGCCGGTTATAGCACAGGGCTGGGCAGGGCTTCGGGGCGCATGTATGTGTGTGTGTGCGTGTGTGTGAGAGAGAGAGAGAGAGAGAATAGGATTAAGGCTTATAGTCCACTATTAGAAGTTGAAGAAGAGAGACAACTCTGACCTCACATTGCCATAGCAATTGTGCCAAGATATGTGAGTGGCAGGATTTGGAAGCAGAAGAATGCAACTCTACCAGCATAGAGTGGTCACAGCCTGGGCAGGTGGGAGGATAGGGCAGGGCTGAGCTGAACAGCAGCCTCTGGAATGACAGGATGGGGCCCCGAGGGAACCCCGAGGGCTTGCTGAAGGGCCATGAGATCTTAACAGACGCCCTAGGCAAGCTTGTCAACCCACCGCATGTCCCCAGGGAAATGCACAGCAAGGTTCTCACTTACACAGCATGAGGCTCCTTAAACCGGCCAACCTGCTGGATGTGGTACATGAGGTCACCGCCGTTCACGTATTCCATCACGAAGTACAGGCGGTCCTAGAGGAAGACAGCAAATGGCCCATCAGCACCGGCATTTCTCGGGTTCCAAGTGGACAGCAGGGAAGAGCTGGGAGGCATGACCAAACACCAGAAAGCCACCAGCCTCCATCGGTCAGCTCTTTGTTCCTTGTCGGGGGTGGGGAGGTGGGGAGGGTGTTTGTGTCACTGTAAGCATGCAGGTGAGCACAGGTGGTGCAAGAGTGTTCTTTTTAATCAGTAACTCTAAGTTTATATTCATTTGTATTGATAAAGATACTTAGCACATGAGTCTTGGGACTTAATATGCATTATTTAGAATAAAGCTAATTTTAGTAAAAAGTAGGCAATATTAAGTAAATCCTATTACAGTTAATAGGTGGCTTATCAAAGCTCCATGATGCCCCCTCCCATGAGTTTCACCTCCTGGTCTTCACATCCTATGTAGTCCCTCCCACAAGGGCTAGGACTGACTTGGTAATCGATAGGATACAGTATCAATGACAGTGTGGGACTTCCCAGACTCGTCAGAAGACATGACAGTTCCCACATTGCTCTCCCTTCAATCACTTGCCCCGGAGGAGCCCGCCATGCCCCGGGGACCCTCGGCAGCACTGTGGAAAGGGGCCTTCAGCAGAGGATGGACCTCCTGCCGACAGCCAGCACCCCTCCCTCCTCATGAGTGGGCCACCGTAGAAGCCAGCCCCTGCAGCCCCTCTCAGACCTTCAGGTGATGCAACCCTTAGCTGGAAACCACAATTTTTTAAAATTAATTTTATTGAGGTGACTGGTTAATAACATTATATAAGTTGCAGTGTCCAACTGTATAATACATCATCTGTATATTGTATTGTGTGCTCACCACCCATAGTCCAGTCTCCTCCCATCACCATATATTAGACCCCCTTTTACTCTCTTCAGCCCTCTCCCCCACGCCCTTCCCCTCTGGTAACTAACATACTGTTGTCAGTCAGTGTCTAAGAGTTTATTAATTTTGTTTCATTTGTTGCTTTCTTTTTTATTTCCCACGAATGAAATCATATGATTTTTGTCCTTTCCTGTCTGAATTATTTCTCTTAGCATGATAAAGACCTAAATATAAAACCTGAAACAACAAAATACATGGAAGAAAACATGAGTACTAAACTTATGGACCTTGATCTCAAAGAGGATTTTGTGAATTGACCTCAAAGGCAAGGAAAGTAAAAGCAAAAATAAATGAATGGGACTGCATCAAACTAAAAAGCTTCTGCACAGCAAAAGAAACCATCATCAAAAGAAAAAGTCAGCCAACCGAATGGGAGAAGATATTTGCAAACGATATTTCCAATAAGAAGCTAACATCTAAAATATATAATGAACCCATACAACTCAACAACAAAAGCAAACAATCCAATTTAAAAATGGGCAGAGGACCTAAATAGACACTTTTCCCAAGAAGATATACAACTTTCATCTGAGACCCCAGAGTCAGAATTGCCCAGGGAAGCAACCCCTGAGCTCCCAGCCCACATACATAAGTTGGGCCAAATCACTCCTTTATATCAAACTAGTGGCCCGGTGCACAAATCTGTGCACATTGAAAGGAAATTAATTAGAAGAAATATTTTAATATCGCTATTCAACCTTTCTCTATAACAGAAGTGTCATCCAAATTCACGATCGACAATGACAGATCAAAACACATGGCACCAGCAAGAGCTTTACATATATAGATAAACGTGCTTAATTTGCCCTGCTTTCTGATTTAGCTAAACTTTTTCCAGCCCAGTGAAGCACCCCAACTTCTCTTTCAGGTAATTATCAGCAACACAGCAGTAAATATCAACACGAAGCAGATTATTATTGTAGATCATGCAGGGAGAACGAAGGGTAAAATTTTTAACTGTAGCAGTGTTTAACTATATTCTGTACAGTGAGAAAATGTGAAGTCATTTTAAGGTCCACCATTTCTTACTTCTTTTCAGTCGGGTCAAGTTTCTAAGCTTTCCAAATCTCCATTTTCTGGCTAATGAAAAGAAAATTGGATTTCACGGAGTCTCCTGTCTACCTACTCGAGGATTTCTGTGAGGATCAAATAAGATAAGGCATGGGAAAATGCTTCACAGACATTTGGTTAAAGTGTAAAATGTTTGCACCTGGGTACAAAGCAAGTCACGTTCCTGGGCTAAGGAAACTCCAAGGAGGCTAGTCGCTAGGGAGAGGAAGCTGGGTGTTGCTACGTGATGTAATTACCCAGTGCCCACAGCCACCGTTTCCAGGCTGGGCTGGGCAGTGGGCTGCATTTTGAGCCATGGGGTCTTGGCAGCACTGGCTGCGATTAGGTGGGGTGTCGCTCCTGGGTGGTGGCGAGGCCTGTGTCCCACTTGGGAGAAGCTGAGTTGCTTTGTGGGTGCCAGGTCCATGGTGCTGCTTCTCTGTAAATGACCAGTGTGTGTCACGGGAGCTCCTGCATTGAGTTTCTGCCCCTTGGTGGTCAGTGCATGTCATAGCGACCAGTCGGACAGTCAGACAGTGTATTAGCCATATATATATATATATATACTAGTAGCCCGGTGCACGAAATTCATGCACATTAAAAGGGAATTAATTAGCAGAGATATTTTAATATTGCTATTTGCCCTTTCTCTATAATAGAAGTGTGAGAGATGAAAGGAAATTAGTAAAATGTGTATGAAAATAATATATAAATTAATTAATAAACAGTAACAAACGGATATAACAACAACAGAGGCATGATATAAAAATGACAAAAACATGATATGAAAACAACAAAAACATGATTTAAAAACAACAGTGACACAAACAATAACCAATAAAGTGATTAAACTTATTCTAATATCTCCCTGTACACCACATTAAGAGTGAAAACACTTTCAGAGTGTTTGACTAATTTCCCTTGTGATGAAGTATTTAGAACTTTAACTGTAACATCACATGCTCTTCAAACTCGAGAGAAAGCAACATATAACTGACCATGTGCAAAAACGGGTTCAGATAGGAATATGCCTACTTTGTCTAGAGTTTGTCCTTGTGATTTATTAATAGTCATCACAAATACTGGCATTGTGGGAAACCATCATCGAATCAATTTAAATGGGAGGCCAGTGTCAGATGGGGACAAATTAATTCTTGGAATCAGAACAACCTCTCCCTCTGCAGATCCTGTTAATACTTCAGCTTCGATAATGTTAGGTCATAATCTTTTGATAATAAATCTGGTACCATTACAAAGACCCCATTTACTATTGAGATTTCTCAATAGCATGATGATTGCACCCACTTTCAATTTTAATTTATGACACAGCATTCCTGAAGGAGTAATACTATTAAGAAATTCGATGGGAAAATTTTCCTTTTCAGCATCATCTGTGGAATCAATGGAATTATCACTCAAATATGTGTGAAACTCTCCATCGAGTACATCCAAAATTTCTTCATTTAGTTTTTGAACATGCTCATTTTTTGGACAAAGAATTGCACGTTTAGATATATTTTTAATGTTATCTATAGATATAGTATTTCCAAAGGCAGCTTCAATAATAGATCCATTACAAATCATTTCACAAGGGATTTCAATAATATCCATTCCTACATGAAAACTGCTATCAAGTTTGCCATCTCTAAGTTTTACTAACCATCCACTATAAGTAGAATCCTCTGATCTCATATTTGTTGTAAGAGACAACTTTCTGAAACATCCCCAAACATTACAGCACTTTAAACTTGTTTGTACTATGGCCGATCCCATAGCATGCAGTACAATACTGAGACATTGTCGAAAATCCCCTCCAAGAAGGAGAACTTTCCCACCAAATACAATATTCAGACCCATAATTTCTCTTAGTAATCTGTCTATGGCGTTTATAGCATGACTGGATGCCATGGTGCATTCATCAATAATGAGAAGTTGGGCCTTTTTAATAGTTTTAGCAACTTCACTCTTTAAATTGAGTCTAGAAATTGAAGTTTCATTTAATGGAATTGGTAATTTATATTGGGAATGAAAGGTGCTTCCACCGAGAAGTAAATTTGCAGAAATTCCTGTAGACACTGTGGGTAAAACAGTACCACTACGACCTCTAATATAATGTATTAAAACTTTATACAGATTTGCAGGTGAATGGGATCCCTAGCTGGCAGGGCCCTGATAGCAAGCTGGCCACCTGTCGATTCCATGAGGAATGGGGCTCCCTCGTCCCTCCTGTCAGGGTCAGGGATGCAGGTGAATGGGGTTCCTGGCTGGCAGGCCACTGACATCAAGCTATCCAACAGCAGATTCTGTGAGGAATGGGGCTGCCTCCTCCCTACTGTCAGGGCCTGGTTTGAAGGCCAGACTCAGTACTTCCATGCTCTGCTCCGAGGGCGGGTTCCTGCCTGAAACCTCGCCCTCCGGGGAAACAGCTGGGGGAGGGTGCAGCCGTTTCCAAGACGACCCCTGCAGGACTGACTTCCTTCCAGTTGGTCGAGCTTCTGGATGTGATGTTACACCAAGAGTTTTTATATAAGTAGACTAGAGGCACAGTGCATGAAATCCGTGCACTTAGGGGAGGGGGGTCCCTCAGCCTGACCTGTGCCCTCTCGCAGTCCAGGAGCCCTCAGGGGATGTCCAACTGCTGCGGAGGCAGGAGAGGCTCCCGCCACCGCCACTGTGCTCACCAGCTGTGAGCCCAGCTTCTGGCTGAGCAGCACTCCCCCGTGGGAGTGCATTGACCACCAGGAGGCAGCTCCTGCGATGAATGTCTGCCCCATGGTGGTCAGTGCAAGTCATAGCAACTGGTCATTCCACCGTTTGGTCAATTTGCACATTAGCCTTTTATTATATAGGATAGATTATCAACTTAATAAAAAGTGAAAGAAAGGGGTGGAAATGACCAGCATGTTCTATAGCAGTGGTTCTCAACCTTCGGGCCCTTTAAATACAGTTCCTCATGTTGTGACCCAACCATAAAATTATTTTCGTTGCCACTTCATAACTGTAATGTTGCTACTGTTATGAATAGTAATGTAAATATCTGATA